AAGCTTTTTTGGAAAAGAGCGTCTAGTTTGGCAGGACGCTTTTCCGGAAAAGCACTTTTTGCGGAAAAGCGTCTGTGGCCAATCTAGATGCACTTTTCTGCAAAAAAGCCCCGATGGCCTTTTTCGCGATCGGGGCTTTTTTGCGGAAAACAGTACTGTGCTGTCTACACTGGCCCTTTTGCGCAAAAGTCTTTCGGAAAAAGACTTTTGCCCGAATGGGAGCAGCATAGTATTTCCGGAAAATCACTGACGATCTTACATGAGATCGTCAGTGCTTTTCTGGAAATTCAAGCGGCCAGTGTAGACAGCTGGCAAGTTTTTCCAGAAAAGCAGCTGATTTTCCGGAAAAACTGGCCAGTCTACACACAGCCCTGGACTATTGCATCCAGTTCTGGGCCCTCCCACCATAGAAAGGATGTGGACATATTGGAGAGGGTCCAGTGGATGGCAATCAAAATGATTAGGGGGCTGAAGTGAGAGGCTGAGGGATCTGAGTTTATCTGGTCTGCAGAAGAGCAGAGTGAAGGGGGATTTGATAGTAGCCTTCAACTTCTTGAAGGGAGGTTCCAAAGAGGATGGAGAGAGGCTGTTTTCAGTAGTGACAGGTGACAGAACAAGGAGCAATGGTCTCAAGTTGCAGTGGGGGAGGTCTAGGTGGGATATTAGGAAAAACTATTTCCCTAAGCGGGAGGTGAAGTACTGGGATGGGTTCCCTAGGGAGAGGATGGAATCTCCATCCCTAGAGGTTTTTAAGACTGGCCTTGACAAAGCCCTGGCTGGGATGATTTAGTTGGGCTTTGAGCAGGGATTGGACTTGATGTCTCTGCCAGCCCTAGGATTCTATGAAAGTTCAACCAGTTAATTGATTAACTAGGAGTTTACATCCCTAGTGTAAATGTGCCCTTTGTCTTGCTGCTGATGCCCATTTTAATCTCTTTGATCCAGCAGTTTAACAGAGCTCAATGTCAAGTGACTGAGACCAGTTTGCAGAGGATAGGAGCTGCTATTTGAGCCCCAGGGCTTGTGTAAAAGATTTTATAAGAACCAGGTGACTTTGCTGTTTAACTGGGAGGGGGCAGTATTTCAGGAATCCCTTCTTCAAATGACCCCATATTTAGACTCCTAACCCTAACCTGTGTCCCCATGAGGTAAACCAAATTTTATGGCAATCTGAGTCAGCACGTGGACTGCAGGGCAGGCAAAAAACCTGACATCTAAACTAGAAAATGTTGCTCAAGCTGTACAACAGGAGTTTCAGCTCTTCTATAAAGTCACACATTGGCCCAATTACAACCCAGCATCAGTTTTTCTCCTTAACCCAAAGGGGTCCCACCTCCCCACCCCATCTCATGTTCCTAGACATGGCCTCAGACTCACACCCGCTCTCTGCCCATCCGTGGCTCACCCCGATGGCATAGCGAATGATCCCAGCTTTCTCCGCCTCGGGAATAACGTCTGAATAATTACGCGGGTCTCCAAATTTCTGCCCATCTGTGATCACAATGAGAATCTTGGTGGCCTCCTCCCGAGCACCTTTCCAAGAAGTGAACAGTTCCCGCCTGGAAAGGGGAGGGTGGGGAACACATGGGAGGGTTACTGATACATAACCACACCTAGCTCCCATCCACTGCTTTGGTATTGCTGATCAGAAATGCCCTTGTCATTGTCTCCATTTTACCGATGGAGAAACTGAGGCACAGGGTGCGGTTGTGACCTAGAGTCACCCAGCGACAGGGATTCAGAGTTGGCCATAGTACCCTGGAGTCCTTGTTCATGGCACTGCTCTAACCTATTGGTGCCCACTCCACTCCCAGAGTCGGGGACAAAGCACAACGGTGCTGAGCTAAGTTCCCCCTAAGCCGCTCCACCATGCAGCTTCCCATAAAGCCCCACTCAGGGCTGCAGCAGGGAGAGATGTGAAGCTGCTGTGGCCACAGCCAGAGGAAAAGGACCTTTCCTCACCAGCCCCAGCAGCAAGCCACCCAGGTAAGCCCAAGCCACCTGTCACCCAATACTGAGCCCCTCCAGCCCTGAGCAGCCTGTTGCACCTCAAACCCTCACCTCTGACCCACCCCAAAGCCCACACCCCCAGCCCAGAGCCTGTACCCCTTTCTGCACCCACAAGCCCAGTCCAGAGCCTGTGCTCCCCCTGTACCCCAACTCCCCAGCCCAGAGCCCCTCCCTAAACCAGGGGGCCCTCCTCTGGCACTCCAAACCTCTTACTTCAGCCTCACCCTGGAGCCTGCCCCACAGCCAGAGCCATTGCACTCCAACCTTCTGTCCTAGCTCTTAGAAACACAGACAGCTGGGTTTGTGATGACCAGGAGAACCGTATGATGACTTGCCTGCCTGGTGCAAAAGTTATGGCTCTCAAGACATCTAGATAGACTTATACATGTGGAGGAGCTGATGGCCATGGTACTTAGAGGTACCAATGACATATGAAAGGGTAGGCGAGACGTCCTGGGAACCAAATTTAGGGTGCTAGGAAAGAGATTGAAATCCAGGACCGAAATGGGGGTGGTCTCTGAAATGCTTTCAGTTCCACACACTGGGCCAAGTAGGCAGGCAGAACTGCAAGGTTTCGATGAGTGGATGAGACAATGGTGTAGGCAGGAGGGGTTTAGATTTATTAGAAACTGGGGATGCCATATGAAGACAGATTAAAAAGCCTTAGACTTTTTATCTTAGAAAAGAGGAGATTAAGAAATGATATAACAGAGGTCTATAAAATTATGACTCGTATGAAGAAAATGAATAAGGAAAAGTTATTTACTTGTTCCCATAACATAAGAACTAGTGGTCACCAAATGAAATGTATAGGTAGCAAATTTAAAACAAACAAAAGAAAGTGTTTCTTCATGCAATTTGGAGTCAACCTGTGGAACTCCTTGCCAGAGGATTTTGTGAAGGCCAGGACTTTAACAGGTTCAAAAAAGAGCTAGATAAATCCATGGAGAATGGGTCCATCAATGGCTAATAGCCAAGATGGCTAGGAATGATGTTCCTAGCATCTGTTTGTCAGAGGCGGGGATCACTTGATTCCCTGTTCTGTTCATTCTTTCTAGGGGCACATAGCATTGGCCACTGTCAGCAGACAGGAAACTAGGCTACATGATCTGACCCAGTATGGCCATTCTCATGTTCTTATAGTCTTAATTTTGTTATGTGCACCAATATGAAGCTGAGGTGTTGCATGTCACCTCCACATTGGTGCACATAAGAAAAGTCATTGCATTCAGGCGTGGGAAAAATTAGAGGAGACACTGGTCCTGAGTCCCTATATCTAGCGTGCAGGCCCTGACAGCTTTTCCCTGCAGAGTCCACACAGGCAGGAGGGCAATACCTACACCACTCTCCAGATGGCGGTGGCTGTGTGCGTTGTTCCATGAAGCTGCTTAACTCCCTGGACAAGATCATCCGGGTCACGATTACTCCTGTACTCCGTGAAATCAAAGTGCTCTTTAAATTTATTGGAGTACTGCCTGAGCGCGAACTGCAAGGGGAGGCACAGAAAGAGAGAAACAACCCGAGGGGGGAAGGGTAAGAGAAGCAGGAATCGGACTCAGTCAAGGGCTGGGGCTGGCAGTCAGGTGGTAGCCAGTTCTGTGGGAACATTTTCCTGGTTCTGGATGCAAAATCCATTGCTGTTCCCTGCAGCACAGTGCCCCCTAGCACCGCACTGGGACACTGGGGTCAGCCCTGCCTGTGAGGGGCAGGTAAATAGGCAGGGTTCTGCCTCTGCCTGTTACCTGCGTGTCAGTGCCATAGAAATGCTTCATGATCTCAGAGAGAAACGTCTTCATCTTTCTAAAGTCCTCAGTTAGGATGCTGCTCGAGCCGTCGATGAGGAGCACAATGTCCGTGATATGTTTCGGGCACTCTGAGAGGGACAGGAAAGAAGTACGTCCTGATTCATCGCCACAAGGACTGAGCTGGGAGATAGAACTAGTCTGAACCAATTGCCCATCTAGCCTGATATTCCACCCCTGACAGCCACCTCAATCAGACCACTTCAAAGAACAGTGGGGCTACCCCCTGGGCCCTACATTTTGGGGGGGTCCTGTGGGGCCCAGATTGGTCCAGTGGATTAGCAGAAGGCCTGGTGTTGGCAGCAGGAACTGGGCCCATCCCTGCACTCACTGGCAACAGTGGGAAGTGTGAAGCAGAACAATGTGGCTGTTCCTGTCATCATCACTGAGTGTGAGGGTGGCCCTGAGCCCTACTACCAGCGTCAAGATCCCGCTAATCCCACGAGCTGCATTCCTCAACTTAAAGGAAGGAGTAGAATGGGGACAGGGTAGGGGCAGAGCAGGGGCATGAAGAGGTGGGACCGGGGTGGAACTCCTATTTCCCTGGGAGGGTGGGGAAGCACTGGGATGGGTTCTCTAGGGAGGGGGTGGAATCTCTGTCCCTAGAAGTTTTTAAATTCCAGCTTAACAAAGCCTTGGCTAGGAGGATTTAGTTGGGGTTGGTCATGCTTTGGGCAGGGGGTTAGACTCAAAGACTTCCTGAGGTCTCTGTCAGCCCTAGGATTCTATGATTCTAACAGGGATGGCAAGAGGCAGGGCAGAGGCTGGACCTAGGATGATGGAGGGGGGTTGACCTGGTCTCCACACACTTCCAGGGACATCCCTGTCAATGGCCCCTTCTGTCAGAATATCATCCCCTCCCTGCCATTGAGGGAATCTGAGAACAGAGCGTGACGTGCACTGGAGTGAAAAGTGCACCCACTCCCTCCCAGAGCTGGGGACACACTCCAGCAGTCCTGACTCCCAGCTCTTACTAATGTCCTGAATCAAACCAATCAGCCCCCCTAGGCTGGTATCTCACCCCCTATCAGACTCATGGGCCCATCCAGACCCATCTGCCCTGCACCTCCTCATGGCCCATGTACCAACCCATAACCCCAGAATGGGAGTACCCCCACTCATGCTGGTGTCACCCTTCACCTGGCTGGGTGTCCGGGATGCGCTGGAGTTGCTGGAGGCTCTGGTCCAGGAGGAAGCAGTAGCCATTGAGGTGCATGTTCTCCCCGCAGGCCCGGTGCACTGTGGGGCCGCAGGCCTGGGACACAAGAAGGCACAGGGTCAACAGGTGTCCCTCTGAACAAAGCACTGAGGGTGGGGGAAGAGGGACTGGGGCCTGCTCCCCCCCTCCCCACCCGTGGATATGCAAGGAAAGGCAGAGGACCCCCTTGGGGAAGACGGGACACCAGGACTGAGCACCCAACTCCCAGAAAGGGGAGAGGGGAGCCCCACATGGGCATCACCTATTTGCCACACACCTTGCAATGGCTACATTCAGCCACTGTCACCTGGTTGCCGGGCTCCCTGCTGTGTCCGTGCACAGTGACCATCACCATGGCAACAACCCCCCTTTCAATGCTTCCTGTTAAGTCAGCACAGTCAGGAAGGCATCAGCCAGTTCCCTCCCTCCCATCATCATCTCACAGCCCCTATTGCAAAAGCAAGGCTGCCTAGCTTCCACCGTTCCCTACGTTACTGGGCAGCCCCTTCAGTTACAAGTGCTACCAAAAGCTCTCGCATAGTAACCATGTCGTCATGGTAACTTCACCCAATTGTCATCTCAGCACCATTGCTTCAGCCACGCCTGACACCGCCCAGTTACTACCATCCGTGAGGAGTGGGCTTTGGGGGGAGCTGTCCCATGGAACCACAAGGGAGCAAATGCTGGACCCATGTCCCAGCACCCATCTCCCCTGGGTATGGTACCTACCAGGAACTGGGAACCTCGGGCAGCCAGAGATAAACCAAGAGACATGTTCGTGGCATCAGTGGGCCCTGAAAGGACAGAGTAGGGCTGTCAGGTGGATTCAACCAGAACATCAGATCAAAAAGGGACCCAGACCATTAAAAGTCCTGTTGGCAGGGCTGGCAGACTCCCTACCTGGCTCCGCATGGCTCTCAGAAGCAGCGACGTCCTACGCAGAGGGACAGGCAGGGAGGCTCCATGCACTGCCCCCACCTCATGCCCTGGCTCCACAGCTTTCATTGGCCAGGAATGCAGTCAATGGAAGCTCCCCCTCCTGCACCCAAACTCCCTCCTGGAGCCTGCATGTCCTCCTGCAAACCAACCCCCTGCCCAAAGCTGGTGAAATGAGCATGTGAAGTAGGGGAGTGACGAGCGGGCAAGGGACAGGGCGGGGTGGATGGAGTGAGGCCTCAGAGAAGGGGCAGGGTAAGAGTTTCAGTTCTGTGGGGTTAGAAAGTTGACAACCCGAGGGAACAGATGCACCACAGGGAGAGCAAATAAACTCTCCTCCCATCCCAGAGAATAGGATAGGCTTGAGGATTTCTCACTCCCAGCTCCCCCTGCTCTAACCACTACACCCCGCACAACTGGGGACAGAACCCAGCGGTCCTGGCTCCCACCCCACAGCGCAGAGGCCCTACTCTGGATGGGGATCTCCTGGCAGCTTTTGGAGCGCACGTCACAGTTGTAGACTTTGCCGGTTTCATTCACATTTCCAATCTGCAGTGGGGCCCCAATAATCAACCTGTGGGAGAAAGCAGGGGAGTTCAGGAGATGCCTCATCACAGGCCCAGGAAGGGCAGCCCAGCCAGACAGCCCACTCAAGGGTGGGCACAAGTCATATGGGGCTCTGAGCCCATGTTTGGGCCTTACCCCCCAGTGCTGGAATTCCCAAGCTGCACCACGCTCTGCCCGAACCCCACGGCTGCCTCCTGGAAGGTGGTGGGTCCCTCCACATCCACGCTGAATCCACGGCTGGGGGCCAGCACTGCAGGGGTTAAACAGTCTCCAGTTAGAGTTTCCCCTGTGGAGAACAGGCAGGTGGCTGGGGGCCAGCTTCTTCTGGCTACAGGACTGAATTCCAGCTCCGCCCCCCCCAGACACACACACAGC